CTGGCCCTGCCCCGCAGAGCTCTGTCTGCACCCTGGGGAGCAGCACCATGAGCCCCAAGCTGGCCTGGAGCTGGCAAGGACAGCCAGGACAGAGTAGATTGAGCTGGGAAGGACCCTCGGGAGTCTCCCATCCTGGAGCAGGCAATGCCAAAGAGAGCCACGCCTGGGCACCGACCCCTTCCCCATCCCCGAGCCCTTACCGATCCCCTCCATGAAGGCGGGGTAGAGTCTGTCAGTGAGGAGGGGCTCGGGCAGCTCGCGGAAGTACAGCTTCAGTGTGCCGGCGATGGCATTGATGTCCATGTCACTCAGCATGACCAGGATGTCCTTGTTATCTGTCCAGAGAGCACCCACATGTGATGCCTCCTGTGCGCCTCCTTCCCCTCTTGGTCTCGACCCCCCACATCACCCCAGTTATCCGGACAGGCTGCTGGGCAGAGGGCAGGGACAGCACCGCCGGGTCCGCAGCCCCGTTTAGCCAGGCTGGGGCTGGGAAGAGCCGAGCGGTTCCCGCCTGGCTGGGCAATGGTACACGGAACAATTTGCAAATCCGTTTGACACGTTGCCCTGACTCAGTGTCTCCCAGGAGCCAGCCAGGCAAGGAGGCAGCTCGGAGTCACCAAGGCACAAACAAGGCTGGGACCTCTGGGCGTTTGTTTTCCCAGCTACACCCTCCTCCTCGCCCCCAGCCCCTTCCTGGGCACACCAGCACATTTTGCACACATGCAGTGCAATAACCAGACCCTGGGCTTGCAGGGCAGGAGACTGGGGGGGTCTTGGTGCCTTTGAACCCTCCCAGGGGAATGTGATGCAAAGGGCAGCCGTTCTCTGGGACACTCACTTGCATCGAAGACGGCTTTCAACGCCTGGATGTCAGTGGCGACGCCAGAGATCCTGTAGATGCCGACCTCTTCGATGCCCCTCTTCTCCACCTCCTCGACGCACTGGCGTACGATGTAAGGCACCTTGGAGCGCTCGCGCCTGGCTCGGAAAGCAGAGGGATGAGCAGAGGTTCCCAGGGCGCCCCGCCGGGGCCAGCCCAGCCCTGCAAACCCTGGGCCAGGGGCAGGGGGGGGCATGCTGGGCGGGAGGGATGGGGCTGGCGAAGGAACGGGCAAGTCTCTCGCAAAGAGCAAAAGCTGAGCTCTCCCAGTGTTGGTGGGAGCAAGGGGACATGCTGCAAGGATGGCGTAGGTCCCCCGAGGCCCCACACCCACAGGGACCAGAGCAGATCGGCCTACCCAGGCCTGACGCACTTTGTCACGACGCTGATTTTG